TTTCTTGTAATTAACTGTTGAAAAATATCGACAATTTTATGAAACATTCTCAAGTGATAGATATCATGGTCTTATTGAACATACTAAAATATTATGGCTCTATGCCAAGTCGTTTAATTTTAAGAATTCATAAAAAGTAAGAAAAAATGACCCGTTTTTTATTTACTTTTAAAAATAACAGTTTTCATCGACGTTCTTTTAAAAACTGCTGAATTGTTTTCAAAAACCATTCGATGTATTTCTACAAGGACTATTGTTGTTTAGTGTTGTGCGCCAATCGGCCAGCCGTTTCTTTGTAATTAGCAGAAACGTGAAAAACTTTTGTCCACGCTTTAGTCAAAAGTTCTAAATTGATTTTAAAAATTCAAAAACTGTACGAAAGATTTTATTTAGGAATAGTGCTGATTAGTTTTTATACAAAATCGACCAAACCGTTTCTTCGTAATTAACGGTTGAATTTTTTTTATAAACTTTTTATGTTGATAGATATAATGGTCCTAAAGAATATACTAAAATATTAAGTTCCTACGACAAATCGTTTTATTTTAAAAACCCATCGAAATTTGAAAAAATATGATAGTCAGAATTTGTGTCACAAAGTCGCTTCTTTGATGTGATAAGTCAAAATTTCAATTTCACAAATTTAAAAATCATTGGAATCAACATGTTAAGGAGGTGCCGCAATTAGATTTGCGAGAAGATTGGCTAAGCCATTTCTTTGATCTTAAGTTTATAAATTAGTAAATTGTTGACAAAAATAGATTCTCCATATCGGTATCACTAGCAAATCTAGTCGTTTCAAAAATGTTAACAATAATTTAAATGATTAAATAATATCAAGAACTAAGTATATGATACGTATGTAGCGTGCCAGTATTTTGTTGTAGCAGATGCTTAAATTTCACAAAATAATTTAGTAGGTTTTTTAAAAAATGTTTTGACGTGCGGTAAAGTTCATGCACTAAACAGTCCTACGAATATTGTCAGAATTATGTATAGAATGAAATAAAATTTCGAATAATATACTTCACTTTTAGGACATACAAGCTGTACTTTTAGGACATATAATTACAAATTTTAAAATTGTGTCAATGGGAAATCGCAATGTTTGTTTAGATTTAAGTGAAAGCAAAAACTTTATTTTCGAAAAGCAATTGAAAATTTTATCTACATATCTAAATCTCAAATTCAGTTGATTAGATCAATTATTACACATTTCGGAAAATTCATGTATCTTGTCTAACAATACCACTTTTGCCTAGTTCATTTCATTTCATTGCTATAAGTTTTAATATTCGATGGCTTAAAACCGTGCGCATTCTTTTAGAACAAGGTGTGCAATATTTTATTTGTGTCTGATTGTAAACACTTCTATTGAGAAATGTAACAACTGTCACATTATAATAATGAAAACAATTTATATCTGTAAACAAAAATGGGCAATAGCACTTCATTTGGCAATAATAATGTATTAGCTCGCCATCATGCTTTAAATGTAAAATCGAAGAATGAATATTTTTAAATTACATGTTTTTAAATATATACAATTAATAAAAAAAGATGTGGTGTATATCATCGTGCCTTAAGGCAAATTGCTGGAACTTCAAGTTCCGTAATGAAATATTTGAAGAATATTCAATGTTTTCAATTATATTATTATAAATACTCTAAACTTTTATTATTCGTATTTTATAGACAAAATAGAAGAGCTTATAAATTGGATGATGACGTTTATATAAGTTTGCATGTTAAACAAAACTTAATCAAGCGGGGTGAGTATGAAGAATCTTATCTCATATTTCTAAAAATTATATGAACTGAATTCCAAAGTTTAAATTATTTATCTCAAGTATATAAGTGAGCTTTAGAATTTTAGCTAAAACTAAAATTAAATCCGAATCATTTTCAATATTCAAAAAAATTCTTTTTTTTTTAATTAAAAAAAAGCAAAGAACAATTTCTGCTTTTCCCAAAAATAATCGTTTCGTCAATTCAAAAATAAGGATGTTGAGCCATTCAAATCTGATGCTTAGTTTACTCAAAAAATGTCATTTTTTGCACATTTAGCTCAGTATCTCCGTAACGGCTGTACCTATCTATCTTTGCCAAAAACTAATCACCACTGCTCCCCATTATTACAAATTGAATAATGTTTTCAATTCAAATCGGATGCTCTGTAATCTCAGAAACTCTATTTCTATTTTCTGCACTCTTTGCTTCGTATCTTCAAAACGACCGGACCGATTTTTGCCAAAAAGTGATTAGCACGTCTCCTTATCAAATCTATTGACCGGTCCTCCCGGAAACTAAGGTGACCATATTTTTTCAAATCAAAATCGGGATGGCAATTTTTATTTATGCTTATCCAGGACGGGACGAGGGTCTTTAAAATAGCAAATTCTATACGATACAATAAAATACAATACAATAAAAACAGTATTTTTATATGAATCAATTTTTTCTTACAGATTTGCGGACTTTTAGTAAGAACTCTATTATTCGATTATACGTTATATTTTTAAATCTATGATATATCATGTCTCAAATTTATCGATTTATATGTTTTTTTGCTTTTGAGCCTTATGTAAAATTCTATTCAGTTGTTTTAACTTCCCGAAGAAGAAGTTTATGTTTTCATCAAAAAATCCGATTCTCTAATTTTATGTTTTCTCGACGTTTCAAGCCATTCTGAATCGAATGAGACCAAATTGGAAAAAGTAAGTGTATGTGTGTGTGAACAGTTTTTTTTTCGTAAATCGACGTTATCTCGAAAACGGCTGGACCGATTTCAAAAATTTAAAAGCCATTCGATGTATCGCGATGAGGACTAGCGTTTGCGCGACGATCAGCCAAGCCGTTTTTTGTAAGTAACAGGCAAGTGAAAAAAATTTCGTCTACGTTTTAGCCCGCAGTTCTGAATCGATTTTAAAATTTCGAAAACGTTCAAAAGATATTGGTTGGGAATCGTGCTGATGAGCTTTTGGTAGAGATCGGCCGGGCCGTTTTCTTGTAATAAAGTGTTGAAATTTTTTTTCGACGATTTTTATTATTATTATTTTGACAGTAGATACCAAAGTCTTCTAAATCATACTAAAATATTACGGTCCTACGACCACTCGTTTAGTTTTAAAAATTCGTCAAAGTTTGCAAAAATTAGTATCGTTTTTTTGGCATTTGTCAATATTAGACCTTTCATCGACGATTGCTCAAAAACGCCTGAACTGATTTCAGAAATTTAAAAACTATTTGATGTGTCTCAATGAGGACTATCGCTTCGTGTGACAATCGGCCGTTTCTTTGAAATTGGAAAAAAGTGTTAAACCTTTCGTCCACATTTAAGCACATTACCAAATCGATTTTAAAAAATCAAAAACTGTTCGAAAGTTATTAGTTAGGAATGATACTGATTAGTTTTAGGTGAAAATCTACCGAGTCGTTTTCTTGTAATTCGTTGTTGAAAAAAAAAATTGAGCCGATTTTTATTGAACTTTTTTGATGATATATATCATGGTCTTTTACAACATATTGAAATATTACGGCCTTACGATAAGTAGTTTAATTTTAAAAATTCATCCAAATTTGAGAAAATGGGTAGTTTTTTTGGCGTTGTTAAAATTAAAATTGGACGCTTTACTTGGTATAACGTTAGTACTTGGTCTTAATGAGCATACTAAACCATCAAAGTCCTACGGCAACTGGTTCAATTATAAAAAGTATTGATTTTTGAAAATTTGCCTTTAGAAAATATTCCGTGTTTTTTTGTTTTCAATTATGTGTAATATTGTAAATCTGCTGGGAATACTTTTAATACCAATGAATTTATTTTTATTGATTAAGTCGATTATTTACACATATCGGGAAAGTTCATGTAACTTGCCTTAACGTAAAATACCATACGTTCAAAATTGTTATATGAAGTATTTATTTTTACTTAAATGACATCCTGTACAGTAGCAAATAAGTTTTACTTCAATCGCGTGTGAACCTTATGCGAACCCTTTTTTTTAACTTTCGGTAGGGTCAGTTATATTAATCGCAAAAAAATCGAAAACGAAGATTTATTAACTTCCCGAAGGAGATGTTTATGTTTTCTGAATCAAATGAGACCAAATTTGGAAAAAGTATGTGTGTGTGTATGTAAACAGATTTTTCGTAATTAATTTGATAAAATTAGTACTTGTTTATTTGTTTTTATAATTTCTAATTTTTGAAAACCAAAACCGAGACAAAATATCTAAATCCGGGACAGATAGTGGTTTTTGAAAACCTCGGGACGCATGGTCGAATTCCGGGACTGTTTCGGCCAAACCGGAACGTATGGTCACTTTACGAAAACGTCAACAAAAAATTGTATCCATACATACATACATACTACATACATACTAAAGTATGCCAAAAAGTTCAAAAACATCTGAAACGTGAAGATATGCAAAAATTATATTTTCGATTTTTGTTCAATAATTACTATAACCTACCGTATGGAAAGTTAATAATGAATAATTCTTTGAATGATGTAATATTTAATTGAAGTGATCAAAATATTTAAATATTCTTTTCGACCGATTATTAAAAAATGCGACATGAAAAAAAAATATTCAGAACAATATGTTTGTTAACTTTTTTTTAGTGTCTACTTTCATGACAAACGGTTTATATTCAATATTTTGTTTCTAACATTTGTCCAAATACAAGTCGTTTTGTATAAATATTATTTTTTGTGTCACTATACATTATGAATCCATATTAAATCAAGACAATTAGCAGTTTGCGTTCGCCTTCGCGTCGAGCGAGACAGATACTCTTTTGCGTTCAGGTACAGTCGGAAGTGGGATAATACATGCACACTGAATTATGTATGCAATACTGTTACCTGTAGCAGAACGAGCATTCGACGTACGTCATTGGAAAGTTGAAAAATGTATGAATGAAATATAATATCGAACGTCGGTCTTTCGATTATTGTTAATGAGCGTTAGTCAGCCAGCAGTGACGACGTCGAAGCGTGAGCGCTCAGTCATACGGTCGCGGTAGTTGAGTCGATGCCATCGATAATGGCGGAGTACATCGAATACGACTGGGGCTTGCGAAATAGTTTAATACGCGATTTACAACAACCGATGCAGGCAGCTGACAAAAAGGTTGCCCTACAAAATTTGAAGGATTTGATCGGAGCTAGCATTGACTTTGCCCTCAAAGACAAATCGTGTGGGCAAGATGATGCCTTTTTAACGCGCTTTTTATATGCCAGAAAATTTAATGTTGCAGAAAGCTTCGAATTAATTCTCAGTTACTACTCATACCGTCAACGAAATCCTGTGCTTTTCAATGATTTGAACTGCTTAGATGAATCGGTTCAACTGGCTCTGCGTGACGGTTGTCCTGGAGTTCTACCAGAGCGCGACCGACGAGGAAGAAAAGTTTTGGTATTGTTCACATCAGATTGGGATTATTGTGCTTATGGTTTAGTAGCAGTATATCGAGCATTGCTGCTAACATTGGAGAAGCTTTTAGAAGATAAACAAAACCAAGCATCAGGATTTGTTGTGGTTGTTGATTGGACTGATTTCTCATTTCGCCAGTCAGCACACTTGAATCCTCGAATGCTAAAACTTATGATAGAAGGACTTCAAGACTGTTTTTCCGGCACGGTTTAAAGGCGTTCATTTCATTGGACAACCGTGGTACGTTGAGATGGCTCTATCCGCAATAAAGCCATTTCTAAAAGATAAAACTAGAGAACGAATTTATATGCATGGGAACAATTTATCTACATTACACAAATATGTGACTAAAGATATTTTACCAGCAGAGTTAGGTGGAGAAGGTCCAAGTTTCAATCCCTCTGTTTGGCTGCAAACTTTAGTGCAATCTGGTAGTAGTGATATGCAAACTAAGAAAGATCTGACATACCCGAATGCATTTAGTCATAATAATGATCCTGATGTTAAAAATCATTCAACCGAACTATCGAACCCGATTCAACCGGACACCGAAATTAAAGACAATGATCAATTGTTAACGGATAACTCTCAATTAATGTGATATTACTTGCATAGTGAAAAGGTGTGTTCGTATGCAGTGTGACTGAATATTACCTATATGAATCATCTAAATATATTTATATTATATATGTATATAAATATATTATATATATATATATATATATATATATATATTAGGGTGGTCCTTAAAATTGTCATTTTCGAATTTCCTTGCTCCCAGGGGCTCAAATGGTTCCAAATTGATAAAAAACAATTCTCTGAAAGTTTTAGCTCTTAATATTAACGTTTAGATAGAGCGCAATTCCATCAAAGTTTGTATGGAAAGAGCATGAAAAAAATTTTGAAAATTAAAAAAAAATGTTTTAGGTAAAACTTAGCGACAAATGAATGAGTTTTAATTATTCATTTGTTTGCTAAATTACATCTAAAAAACATTTTTTAAAATTTTTGAAAAATTTTCCATGCCATTTCCATACAAAACTTTGATTGAATTGCGCTCTATCTAAACGTTAATTTTAAGAGCTAAAACTTTCAGAGAATTGTTTTTTATCAATTTGGAACCATTTGAGCCCCAGGGAGCAAGGAAATTCGAAAATGATCATTTTAAGGACCACCCTAATATATATATATATTTATATATATATAATAATATATATATTATTATATATATAAATATATATAATAAATATATATTTATATACCTATATATATGAAATGTAAAGTTTATATATTATATATAAGCTTTATAGTTTATATTGTAATATAAATTACTTATATTTATAGTTTTATATAGTTTATATATATTACACGTTAACCTTATTTATCTTATTTCAGTGATCTCATTGGCACAATTATAAAACAACGCGATTTACCATTTCGCATAAAAATGCGCTTTACCAAAGTCTTTATTGAACAACTTGTGGTGGGTGTGATTGAACATAATTATTACTGTTTTTATCAATTTTATAATTTGGCCAGCTAGAATCTGTGTGGCTTTTTTAATGAAAAATCTGTGTGTACATGCATTTGCAAATATGAATACCAAAGTCAAATAAAATATAACTTGAGATTAAACTTTGTAATGTTCGTTATATGAAATGCGAATGTAACAACATATATTTTAACAAAATTTCGGGTCAATCTGGGTCTGGGTCAATCTCAAATAAAATATAACAAAAATGATGAAAATGCGGTATGAGATTAAACTTTGTAATGTTCGTTATATGAGATGCGAATGTAACAACATATATTTTTAACAAAATTTCGGGTCAATCTGGCACTGTATTCCTTTTATCATGCAAACTTTCAACATACTTATTCCAAGTCGAATATTGAGACAATAATTTTGATGTCTCTTTCTCGATTCGAACTGACAACATAGACATTCCTGTAATGTGAGGTCTCTAAAATAAAAACACATTTCTGAAATTGCCTGGCCATATTATGCGATAGAGTTTGTTCGAGTCTGATTTCAGTTTTTTTTATTTAGTTATTCAATGCAGTTCAAGTATGAAGTGCTGAGAATTTATATTCCAAAAATTTAATGTACGTTTGCTATCAAACAACAATTAATTGATTGCAATTTTTATTTGAAGTTGTTATATGTAATACAAGTTCACATTTAGATGTTTTAAATACTGATCATAGGCCCATTGTTTCATTTTATGATAGGCTTCTTCTTGGAAAATATTTAGTTTTAATCATAGTTTCCTTAGCACGTAAAAAGTTAGCTTATATATACATATATATGATGTTAGATAAATATTAAATTTCTATGTATTTTACATATTTATATATACATGCATACATCTATGTATGTAAGTATTTCATGTATTTATATATACATGCATACATCTATGTATGTATGTATTATATATATATTGATATATACATGCATATATCTATGTATGTATGTATATATATTAACTTTGCAATATGAGCATTCAATACTTTTTTTGCACTATTTATTAAATATTTCAATTTTTACAACTATTCTAAGACTCAGTTTCGATTCAAATTTATATTGTAGAATATAAAAAAATTATTGTCTCAATATACAGTATAAAATATATTACACTAATGATGAGACAAACCGAGTCTCGAAACGTTTGTAAAATTCAAAATATTTAATAAATAGTGTAAAAAAGAGTGCTGTAGGTTCATATTTCATAGTTAGTTTATTATTCCATTCACTCATTTTACTTTTGATAAATATATTTATAAATATAAATATATATTGTTTATATAAATATAAACAAATATATATATGTATATATATATATATATATATATATAATATATATATATATATATATATAATATATACTATATATATATACTATATATATATATATATATATATATATATATATATATTTTAAAACATAAATCTGAATGTATATATACATGGTGTAATACCAAGTTATTCAAAAGTAATTTTATTTAATGCATATTTTGATGTATTCCATATTATTAATTTTTTGTATAATTAATTATGGAATATGTTGCAATATGTCAAGTTATATTAATGTTAATTAATAACAAAAATATATTTCGTAGTTTATTATTCTACAGTATCATATATAAAAGGCTAACATTTCAAATTCTTCCAAAATATTTTAACAACAATAATATTTTATATGATGATATTGAATACCTCGAATAAAATAATTATATTTAATTAATTAAACCTTATTATAATAATATAAAATTGAATTTTGTAATCATATTTTTATAACTATATACATATTTTTTAAAAAAAAAAAAAAATCTTACTTGTTTTTTAAAAGTTTATGTATTTACAAATTACAGTCAAGTGTGTGTTGGTTTCGCAAAACATGGGTCCCGCATGAATATGAAAATTAGTCACGGTTTGTGATAACCATGAAAGTAACATATCAAATATAAACGTTACAGTACAAAAGAAAATCAGCTAATCTTATTATTAGTATTTGCAGATATTAAAATCAGGGGCGTAGTCGTAGCTCGTAGAGCCCTCAGGCTCTACGAGCAACGGAGGCGAACAAAATTTATTAAATACTTTCCGAATTTTGTTTTATTTCACAATTAATAAAAGGTAAATTAATCATAAAAACTTTGTAACTACATTTAGTTAAAAAAAGTAAGAAAAGTATTAATATAATTTTAGAGAGTAATAATTATTCCGGGCCAGCGGGCCCTCAAAGTGCTTGAGCAAATATTAATAAAATCTTTTTAATTTTGTTTTTTGCATAAATAACAAAAATTAAATTGATCATTAAAACTTTGTTCCAACTAAATTTAATTTCAATGAAATGTTATTTTGCGTGCCGCGGATTTGACGCGGCTCGCCGAAATGGCTGTGGTACCGCCATTTTTAATTTTTTTTTACAATTATATTTTATTTTGTTACTTTAAAGTACAATAAATAACTATCTTTAATATCATGATTTTAATACTTTTCCTTCCGTCCGAAAAAAATGGCAAAAACATACGTTTTTTTTACTGCAACAGTGGTGTAACCTTTTAAGAAATCAAAGTTCATTCAATAATTTGCTAAATGAGTCCAAAGATTTAGCAAAAGAACAATTGGTAAACCTGCTTTTAAAAAGTAATAATACATTATTACTGATCAAATATATTATTTTCTAAAACCAAATAATGATTTCAGGGCCTGTGAAAATTGATTAGTAATATTACAACCAGTGCCGGCTTTAGGGTAGGGCGAGTTGGGCGACCGCCCTGGGCGCCGGCAAAAAGGGGCGCCGCAGGCGCCCTCCGTTTTGTGCTCATAATTCGAGGTCTGCTTAGTCGTAAAATCCCTAAATTAAGGGGCTTGTTCTTTTTTTCTTACAAAAAATGCAAGGTATTTGTTTTTGTTTTTCTCGACTAGGTATTGCAGTGGTGAACAAATTAAAAAAAAAATGCAAGTCGATCCGACTTGTATTTTTTTTTAAATTTGTGGCACCGCATTGAAAAAAGTCAATTTGAGAAAAACGTATTTAGAATTTTTAATATAATGTACTAAATACATCATTTAATTTAATGTGCTAAATACACCATGGTGTTCAAAGATGCTGACACATTAAAAAGTTCATGTGCATGAGGTATTATAATGAAAAAGAGGCAGCTGACATACAATAGCTCGCGGAGCGATAAAAAAACGCTTTCAGAGGATCATACATATAGAGATATATATATCTATAACTTCATCAAAAAATAGATATTGAAATGATTTTTTTTTAAATAATTCTAAGGTTTTTAGCTTTCATAATATCAAAAAATCTCATAACCGAAACAAAAAATAAAATAAAAACTCGGTTTTTTTGTCTATCGTCAAAACACATTGTCTATCTCCTTTCAACGTTTTGGTTAAAAAAGGCTAGCGTTATTGTAGCGAAGCGTAACAAACTCAGCTCATTCGCATTGGCCAGCGAACTTGGCCACTTGGCCAGTCACTCGAAATGGCAAAATCATTGATTACTAGTGGTCTGTACTAGTGGCCCAGTGCAAACTCACATTGATTATTATCCGAAGAATGATACAGGCCGACATTTCTCTAAATCTCATTTCACAAAAATTCTTGCAAACAATGAAACAATTCAGCGCCGTTGGTTAATTTACGTTTTTAAGGATCGAGTTTATTGTTTTTGTTGTAGACTATTTGATAGTAGCTCAACGTCGAATTTAGTATCTGAAGGGTATAACAACTGGAAATACTTGACTGAAATATTAAAAAATTATGAAAATAGCACTTTTCATAAGAAGTTTTACCTTTCATGAATTGAAGCTGAACTACGATTAAAAATAGGAAAAACAATAGACTGCCAAGAGCAACACTTGATTAGAAAGGAAACTACAAGATGGAATAATGTTTTGTCTAGATTTATGCATATTACACTTTATTTAGCCGAAAACAATATGGCGTTCAGAGGCACTTCTGACTAACTATATACGCCAAATAATGAAAAGTTCTTAGGCTTAGTACAACTACTAGCCAAATTTGATCTAGTCATGCAGGAGCACTTGCGATTAGCTATGAAGGGTGATATTTCAGACCACTCAGCTTCTGTTCATCGATGGAAAATTCTAACCGATCACTTGGGACTATATACTATAAAAAAGCACAGTGACACTCATTGGGAAGCAAGAATAAGTAGTGTTAAAGCAGTCCGTCATCAAGTTAGTACTATCCATGATGCTTTGATTACTTTGGCTCTTAAAACTCAGAAAACTGATGTTCAAATGTTTCATGAGGCTACTACCGTAGCCGAACAACTAAAAGATTTCAGCTTCATAGTTTCATTGGTTGCTTGGTATGACATACTTAATCAAATAAATGTTGTAAGTAAATCTCTACAGTCAACAGATATGTACACAAATGTTGAAAAAATGCTGAAATTTTTTGGAAGACTACAGAAATACGGGCTTTAAAAGCGCTATTTTAACTGCGAAAGAATTGGCCGAAGAAATAGAAATTAAATCTGAATTTTGGGCTACAACAAGAATTCGACGTATTATGCTTCAAGCTGGTGAAATTGCACGCAATGACCATATAACTTCTCCAAAAAATGAGGTTGAATTTTTCAACTGTCTTTTGGACACTATATTAATTTCAATCAATGACTCTAAATCAGACATACATGGTTGTACGTTGTGTGATGAACTTATAAGTCTGGCATCCTTTTTACCTAATAAAAATGTGGTTACTCCAATTTTTGTTTTAAATTTCATTAACGATTTCAACTTACAAGAACTGTATCCCAATGTATGGATATCATTGCGAATTTTATTAACTGTTAATAACTTGTTAATAACTTTATTAACTTTTAATACCTGTAACGGTTGCTAGTGGGGAGCGGAGCTTTTCGAAGCTGAAGCTGATAAAAACCTATCTTTGATCAGCGATTTCTCAATCTAGATTGACAAACTTAGCAACTTTGTCAATTGAAAACGAAATTGCTGAAAAAATCGACTTCGACAACCTTATAAAAGAGTTCGCTGATAGAAAGGCCAGAAAAGTAAAATTCTATTAGTGTTTATGTAATAAATGGTTATCTTTTATAATAAATATTTTTTTTTTTAAATAACGGTTATTTCATTAGATGTTTTTCTTTTTTCCAAATGGGTTTAAATTGCAGGTGGAGAGCGCCGTAGAAATCTCGCCCAGGGCGCTGGTAGTGTTAAAGCCGGCCCTGATTACAACTTTAGTAAACTCCTGTTTCCTTCAAAGAAAATAATCCAGAAAACTGTCCCCTATTTACAGTAAGATCATTTCATATAATCAATTGAATTTTCAAATATTTAGTTATATTCAATAATTGAATTCAATATTTATTTATATTGCTGAAAAAATTTAATAGTTTTGCAAAGCATAGCAACCCGTAATCTTATTTCAAACTCAACTTTTTGCTAATATATTAATTTCTCATACTAAACATAGATTTCAGAGACTTTGACTCAATTATTATGTTCGAAAAATTACAACTGGGGTCATTTCGCAAACCACTACAGTAAGATACAGTGGAGTCATCTCTTTTAATTTTTATAACACATTATAGAGTTTTACAATGCATTGTTTACAATAGTTTTGCATACAATTTTCCCAAAGTAATTATTGCATACCATTTACCCAGTTGCAATCGCAAATGATGAAGTTTTCAAAGATATCTATAATAATATAATGTTCATCGAAATTCGTTTTATCAAGAAACTCAATAAAAAACTATAGCCATTGTAGAAATTTTGGAAAAGGACTAGATGAATATTGATGATAAGTGAAGATTTATTAAATTTATTTATTTATTTATTTATTCAACGCCCAAGGCAATTGTTTTAATTTTTAACTTCCCGAAGGAGAAGTTTATGTTTTCATCAAAAAATCCGAATTGCTAATTTTATGTTTTCTCGACGTTTCAAGCCATTCTGAATCGAATGAGACCAACTTTGGAAAAAGTATGTGTGTGTGTGTGTGCGTGTATGTGAACAGATTTTTTGCCGTAAATCGACGTTTTCTCGAAAACGGCTGGACCGATTTCAAAAATTTAAAAGCCACTCAATGTATCTCGATGAGGACTATTGTTTGTTAATTTTATGCGACGATCGGCCAGGCCGATTCTTTATAAATCGCAGAAAGTGAAAAAAAATTTGTCTACGTTTTAGCCCGCAATTCTGAATCGATTTCGAAAATTCAAAAACCGTTCGAAAGATATTGGTTGGAAATCGTGCTGATTAGTTTTTTGGTAGAGATCGGCCGGGCCGTTTTCTTGTAATAAAGTTTTCAAAAAAAAAATTCGACGATTTTTATGATTATTTTTTTGACGGTAGATACCATAGTCTTCTAGATCATACTAAAATATTACGGTCCTACGACAATTGGTTTAGCTTTAAAAATTCGTCAAAGTTTGAAAAAATTAGTATGGTCTTTTTGTCATTTGTCAAAATTAGAACTTTCATCGACGTTTGCTCAAAAACGGCCGGACCGATTTCAGATATTTAAAAAGCATTTGATGTATCTAGATAAGTGTTATCGTTTCTCAGTTTTGTGCGACGATCGGCCGAGCTCTTTCTTTGTAATTTGGAAAAAAGTGTTAAACCTTTCGTCCACATTTAAGCTTATACTACCGAACCGATTTTAAAAAATCAAAAACTGTTCGAAAGATATTAGTTGGGAATGATACTGATTAGTTTTAGGTGAGAATCTACCGAGCCGTTTTCTTGTAATTAACTGTTGAGAAAAAGTGTTAAACTTTTCGTCCACATTTAAGCTCATCGATTTTAAAAAATCAAAAACTGTTCGAAAGATAATAGTTGGGAATGGTACTGATTAATTTTAGGTGAAAATCTACCGAGCCGTTTCTTTTCATGGAACTTTTTTTGGCGATATATATCATGGTCTTATAGAACTTACTGTAATATTACGGCCTTACGACAAGTAGTTTAATTTTAAAATTCGTCAAACTTTGCTAAAATTATTATCGTTTTTTTTTAAAGTAGGATTGATGAAGTATATTATTTACACTTTTTTTTATTAAGTCGATTATTTACACATATCGGGAAGTTAATGTAACTTGCCTCAAGGCTAAATACCAAACCAACTAGTTTTTTATGTGAGAAAATTTTGCCCTACCTGAGGGGGGCGCCAAAAAAATTTTGATATCTGGAGTAGTTATAAATACCAAAATGGTTTATAACTACGTTTAGCTATTAAAATATATAATAAAACATATTTTTTCAATTAAAGTTAACGATAAGAAAACTTTGTGAAATCTCTTTTCTTGTATTGAATTTTTTGTATTGACAAGAAATACATGTCACAACCGTACCCACAAAATTTGTCATAATCGTACCCATCGCACACTTTTGAAAACAAATCATCGTTATGACTGAGCTCAATTATTTACGCAAAAGCTAATTGCTGGTAATTAATTACTAATGCTACGTATTACAGCAAAATAACAAACAAAGTGATCTATTTGTATACAAGTAAAGCTATTAGTAAAAGAAATCGAACAAAGAAACTTTTATGACTTTAAAAACAATGCGGTCTACAAATCCTGCTAATGTAGGGACCGACTGCAATAATATCCGATATGTGCAAATAATCGACTTTGTTAATAAGAATTTAGATTTAGCAACTTAAAAAAAATATGTTAGAATTTTGAAATTTTAATTCTGGGCATTTTCAAATTTTGTTGAATTTTTAATATGTTCTTTAAGTGTACAAAGTAACATATCAAATATAAACGTTACAGTACAAAAGAAAATTAGCTAATCTTAGTAATTAACTTCCCGTAGGATAAGTTACAGTAATCGCAAAAAATCGAAAACGAAATTTTTTATATATCTTTACGTTTCAGAGGTTTCTGAACATTTGGCATATCTTAGAAGAAATGAATGTGTGTGTGCATGTGTGTGCGGATACAAATTTTCGTCGACGATTTCGGGAACAGGGCTCAACCGATTTGAATGATTCGAAAAACATTTGATTCGTATTGATGAGGAGACGTGCTGATTAGTTTTTGGCGATGGCAGGTCTAGCCGTTCCGAAGATACGGGACAAAAAGTGCCAAAAACGGTACCTCCGTTTTTAAGAGAACGGAGCGTCCGATTTGAATAATTCAAAAAACATTTTACTTGTATTGACATTTCGTCTCTATGCAGTTCAAGCAGTGCGATTGCTTTGAGAAAAAGTTCAGAATTTCCAAAATATGTCAAAATAAAGAAAACCTATAGATAATCTCTATGATCATATTTTTTTTATCAAAATCGTTAATTTTTCTTTTCAACAACTTATCGCAAATAACGTCCCGGCCGATATTTACCAAAAAACTAGCTGTAAGTGGAATTCTGTCTTAAGGCAATTAGGGCATCGTGCCTTAAGGCAAATTGCTGGAACTTCCCGTACCAAAAATTATTATTTTTTTTAAAAACGATTAACATTTTGAAAAAATTTTACTTCGAAAAAAAATAGATTTTTGAGAAACTAAAAATTGACAAAAAATTACTTTTTTTGAAAAAAAAAATTTTTATTTGAAAAAAAAATGTTGAGAAAAAATACGGGTACGGGAAGTTCCAGCAATTTGCCTTAAGGCACGATACCATGCGCCCCACTAGTTTTATGAGAAATTTTTGCCCTTCGTGATGACTTCCTAGGAAATGTTGATACGAGACCCTGCCAATGCATACCGCGCCACTGATTAAAATGCACTGTAAAGTACTTTATTTATACTTACATTCAACACTATGGACACATGATAATTTTAGTATTAACATTTGAGTTTTACACTAGACAATATTAGAATATAATGTATTCATATGATTTTTACTTAAACCCTTTTCGAAAGAACTTGTTAAAATGTAAGAAATATATTTATGAATCATATATGCGATTCATTGGTTTTATACTTCTGCATGTATGTTGACCATAAAAAGTGCATAATTTATAAGCATATAAAAACGCTAAATAATAGTTGATTAGCTGTGTTATCTTTCAGTCCATCTGTTTGAAAAAGCATCTACGTTAAAAGCAATGTTAGTATTTGTTCATTTTCCGCATTATTGCGCAGCTTCTGCGGCTACTGAACGCGATGATGCATTTCATTATATATATGACCATGATGTGATCTTTCAAATCTACCGAAATTTATGAAATCAAATTGGTTTTGAATGAATTACGCAATATCTAGTATTTATATTAAAATGAGTTATTTCATTGAAAACTTACGCAAAGCAAAACTTTGTTCAAACATATAGTTCTTAAAACAGCGAGAATATTTTATTGAAATAGATTTGAAATGTATATAAATTAAAGGAAACTAATATATTAAAACTAATTAAAGAAAACGTATATTAAAACTAAAGGAAAATTAAGTTACCTTAATTAAACTTTCGAAGAACAAAAATAATCAATAATCAATAAAAATTGATCAATG